ACAGAACAACTTCTTATTTATGTGCAAGACTTGAACCTGACTGCGAGATAATCACAAGAGATGGCTCTTAAAGGAAATAGAATGTCTTTCTTTGTTACATTTTTTTTTTTGTGCTCCTGGTGCTCTTTAACAAGACTGGAACTTTGGATACTTGAATTTTTTGTCTAATTGAAATAATTTAAACATTAAGATAGTGCAGAAAAAAAAACCAAAAACAGCAGAGGTTAGGAGAAAAACTCAGCTGGTGTGAACATTAAGATAGTGCAGAAAAAAAAAACAAAAACAAAAACAGCAGAGGTTAGGAGAAAAACTCAGCTGGTGTTGTGTAATGAGAGGAAAATGATAGTTCAAAAATCTCTATAGTCTGACATGTACTCAGAATAAAAACCTGCTGTTATCACTGTTGTACAGCTGAGCTCGCTATCGCTGCTGTCCTGAAGTACATGACTTAATAGGCATCCCTACCTTAACGTATTTACTTCTCTTTTAAGTGTTATCTTCATTCCATATTGCCTGCATTTGTGATGGCTGCTGTGGGATACCTGCACCTTCTCTGTAGCATTTGTGTGCCCTGAAGTTAAACCCCGTTTCCATTCGGAAATACTTCTCTTGGTGCGCAGAAATACGCACAAGCTGGAGTTTGTTCTCTCCTGGGAGATTTTAGAAAGAAAGATACTTCAGGCAGCTCCGGGCATGAAAACTTTTCCATTTTAGTCCCCCTACCCTTCTTCTGTCCCTCACATCTGACAAAGACAATGGATGCTGCTGCTGGACAAGGAGCCCTTGGGAGGAGCGGGATGGAAAATCGAGCGAGCCTTGTCTCAGATCAGTGGGGCAGGGCTTTGTAACTCTTTGGGTTTTGTGTGCTCCCATTGCTCTGCTTGGAGCCTTGTTTTTGCTTTGATTAAACATTTTGGGTCTGGGTTTTAATTTTGGGTTTTTTACGATGCCAGTTGACAAAGCTGCCCTGCACGCAAAGTGTTGCAAGGCTTTGTCATGAATCGAAAGCAAAGCAGAGCGTGAGTAAAAACGGACTGGGAGTGTGTGGTGGGCTGTAAACTGGGTGGCTGATGGTGGGGAGAGCAGCCTGCCCACAGCTGGGGGAGCACCCAGAAATATTTCTATTCAAGCTTCATGAAATTTAAGTTTGAACCCAAAAAAAAGCCCTGTTCCTTTCCTTTCTATTCTCCCTTTTCCTTTCTTTCTCCACAAATCTGAATAAAACTTTCACTTACTTGCAGTATTTTTTTATATTTTAAGAGTTTTGAGTTGTTGGCTTTTTAATTTATAGTTTATTATTTTTTTCACTGTGAAATAATTTGTCTTGCTAGTTCTTAAATCTGTGTACAAACGCTAGCTTCTTATTTTGAAGGCTGTGATTAGAGTGTGATTCCCTATTTTCTTCCTGGAATCCTTTCTCATTTTACAGTTTCTATAACTGCTGTGACAAATCTTTGCTGCCTTACCATACATTATACTGTGGTTAAGTGTCTCTGTCCCTCCCTTAATTAAATCCAATGGTTTACTTTCGATTCGGATCCAATTAATGAACTATAATAGCTGGTTCTGGACTTAATAGAACTGGTCAAAACTTTTCCAAACTGCCCACACAATGTAAATCCCATCTGGAAATTAGCTTTTGTTCTGACCTGGAATGAATGCAAGTATGCACAAGCATTCCTGCAAACTAGAAATCTGAAATATGTTGCGGTTGTAAGTATTGATGGGAAGAATACCAGTCTTGACATTCCTACGTAGGCATTTAGTTCTCAACTCTGATTTAGGTTGTTTTTAAATTTAATTTAATTTAATTTAATTTTTGTTTTGGTTTTTTGTTGTTGTTGTTGGGTGGTTTATTGGGGGTTTTTTTGTGGGTGGTTTTTTTTGTTGTTTGTTTGGTTTTTTTGTTTTGTTTGTTTTCTGGGGTTTTTTAATTCAATGTGGCATCCCAAGAGGAGCTGCCTGGTGGTGCCCCAGCGATAGTTACAGGCACTGGGACAGGCACTGTGCTGTGAGGAGAACAGATTGGAGTGTCTGCAAGTGTGGCTCTGCCTCGCTGCGAGAGGAAAAGAGAACAGGATGTTTCCTGCTGAATCATTTAGGAGCACTTGGAAATGCTTTGGTGCACTTGTGTATGACACCAGGACCTGCATGTTATGGGGGAACGTAGAATTAACACAGGAAAACGCAAATGTGGAAACAGGAAACGTAGTCCCAGCATGAAAGGTTGGGATTTGGCAATGAAATTCCAAGATTTTCCAGCACTGGGTTCCTGAGAGGAGAACGCACATTTCGATCTCCGTGCGAGGCACATTTGCAAGCGGCTCAGCTTCTCAGAACGCTGCATGTAATAAAATTTTTCTGATTAAAAGAACACTGACAAAAGACTTCTGACCTACCTAAAAAGCTTTAGAGCTGTTTCTCTCTCCTCTCTGTTTCTGCTGACCCCAGTCACTCGTGCTGTCAACACTGTTTAGGAACACCATTTTTCAGGAGTACGTACCATTTTTCAGGAATACCATTACCCAGGAATACCATTTTCCAGTGTTCAGGGCTGTTTCCTGATAAAGCAATTACAGCAGGGAAGAAGAAACACCGTGCTGATGCTCTGGAGGCAGCCAGGGAGCACTGTGAGCAAGGTGCCATTTGCAGGCAGGCTGGGTTTGGTGTGTGCAGTCCCTCCGTAGCAGCACATGGCAAGACACAAGGATTGACCAACCCCGTGCTGCTCTGGATTAATATCCTGTTATTACTTTTTTTCCCCTGCTACCCACATCACTCCTGTAGACATTTGGATCTCGCACCGTTCCAGAGGTGCGGCGATGGGAGATCCCAAAATTCCGGAGCTCCCTGTCACAGATTGTGCTTTGCTGTCACCTCCACGGAGCTCTGTCCTGGAAAAGGGGGGTGACTGGCATCCCTGCTCCATGGCAGCCCAGGCTGGGGGTGCTTTAGCCAGCAGTGACCCAGCCATGAGTCACCCAGCACGGACACTTTCTGTCCCTCAGCCTGGCTATTTTTGGGCGCAGTAATTACGAGGTGAGCCGTGAATCACCGGCGTCTCGCTTTACGCAGGGAGGAAACCAGGCAAATTATGCTAACGTGCTTGGCAGGGAGAATTCTCGTTCTCCAGTGTTTTACAGACTTTGGCCCTTCTCTTGCTCCCCAGAGGGATGTGCTCACCCTTCCTCATGTGTAGCTGTCACGCAGGGCCGAGCAGCAGCCAGACTCGTGTTCCCTGCAGCCGGGTGTTGTCTTCTGGGCAGAAATGATGCTCCAGAGGCCTGGATGGGATTCTGCAGGGGTCCCAAAGGCTTTTATTGATTTGTTCCTATGCTCTGCATAGGCAGGGTTTAGATTAGAAAATACCATGAAGTGGGTAATTCCAAAGGAGGCCGTGTTGTCTTTGGCCTGTCCAGCAGCTGGCCTTGCAGTGTTTGTGGCATTTGGAGGGACGTTTGTGCCCCGAGGCTCCGTTTGCTGTGCACAGCAGCACAGGGGGAAATAGCTGACCCCTTTTGAGAAGGGTTTGGTGATGAGTCAAGAGAGGGACATGCAGGGGTTTTCTCCTTCTTTATAGGGGATGGAGCCTGTGACGGCGTTAAACCCCCAGCAGGGAGAAACGAGTGCAGGGCGTTCTGCACAACTGCACAAAGCAGTTCAATCCCATCCCTCTGCTCCACTGCTTTGCTTCCCACCACCTGAGCTGATAGATTCACCTGTAGCCCTGCTTTAATTCCTATGTGCCTTTGTTTTTCTTGCACCTTCCTGCCTCTGCCAGTCCCTTCCCAGCTCAGCTTTATGTCTCAGCATTCCTGTCAAAAACTGGTCTCCAAACACTTCCTTTTGGATATGGGAAAACCAAGGATGTGTTTTTCCATCCAGGAATCCCCAGGCTGGAAAGGAGCCTTCTGGGGATCTTCAGGCTGTTGGAGGACGATTAGGGATGGAGGCACTGTAAACCTGAAGGAATTTGAAAACCATGCTTTAATTTAAGAGGAATGTCCTTTTGTTCTCAAATGGATGGGCCTTGCTCCAAAGGTGTTCAGGTGCAGTAACTGGTACCAGATGGGCTGTGAAAAGCAACCCAAACAGGTGGTGAGGACAACAACTGCAGACTTTAATTTCCTTGCCAGCCCCTCCCTGTGCCTTACATACCCCCTGGAGAAGACAGGGATAAGGGGAGCTGTCATATTTGTACATGGCAAAAGGAGTGACTGTTGAGGGGGTGTTCTCCATCTGTACATAGCAGGTCAAGCCCTGGCACTCTCCGGTGTGCAGTGATGAGCTTAGAATATGATTCCCTAGCTTGTGCATTTTTATGGATTCAGGGATCATACATTTTAATGCTGACCTGAATATTGGCTCAGGTCCCCCCAGGGTAATGTGGATTTTTTTGGTGGCACCCCACACATACTGCATGATCCAGATGTGTTGATTAATTTCTGAGTAGATGCGAACCAGGTACAAAACAATACATGCTCTTATGGGTGGTTGTTGAACGCCTTGCTGGTCCAGCAAGGCAAGGAGGATGCTGCAGAGGGCACAGCTGCTCCTCACTAGCAGCATCCAAGAGTATGCTCTTACCCCAGAGAGCTGTGTTACATCCCAGTCACAGCAGTCCTTGGAAAGCTGAAGCAGAGAGAACAGGGCTTTGTGATTCTTTGCCATCACAAAAGATTTTTGGGATTGTCAGGAATGGGGAGATGCATTTTGGGCTTTTTTTTGCTGCCTTTTAGAGATAAGGAATCTGAGACCTGGGGTAGCTTAAGAGATCTGGTACAAGTCTTACGCAGTAGAATTGAAAAATAAATGTTTGGGATCAGTGCACTTTCCATCTCCTCCTCAATGGGGACTCACCCAGCATGGCTGATGTGTGGGGTTAAAACTGTGCAAGCCCCTTCCTAAGCCCTTCCCTCTTGAAACCATTGAGGTCGTTCACCCCGTGGCTGTGGGCTCGTGGCTTTCTCACTTTTCCCATCTCCAATTGTCTCTCCTAGATGATCAGCTGAACTCAGAAGAGAAGAAGAAAAGAAAGCAGAGGAGGAACAGGACTACCTTCAACAGCAGCCAGCTGCAGGCACTAGAGAGGGTCTTTGAGAGGACTCACTACCCCGATGCCTTCGTACGGGAAGACCTTGCACGCAGAGTCAACCTCACTGAAGCCAGAGTTCAGGTAATCCCACAGCTCACATGCAGGCACACCTCACCTGGGGGATCATCAGGGCACTCCAGCAAGGCAGCAGAAATCCTTGGGGTCTGTGTGGCACACAAGGGTCACCGAGCTCCTGGCTCCACCGTGCCTTGAGGGAGACTGCCAGGCCTGATCTGCCACCCCTTTCAGCACCTGCCCTCTCAGGCGTGTCCATATGGCCAAGATGCTCAGGCTGCTGATCTTAACTTGAGCTCTTAGCTTGCAGGCCTGCACCTTCTGCAGGTCAAAGCAGACCATGGAACACAGTGTGCTGGACAGCACTGCCAGGCCTTGCTGCCATCTCTTGTATTGGTAGGGTTCCCAGATGAAGGGAGGAATGATCAATCTGATTCTGTGTTCTTAGAAGGCTAATTTATTCTTTTATGATACTATATTATATTAAAGAATACTATACTAAACTATACTAAAGAATACAGGAAGGATACTTATAGAAGGCTAAAAGATCCTAAAAAAGACTCATGACTCTTTCCAGAGCCCTGACACAGCTTGACCATAATTGGCCAATAAGTCAAAACAATTCCCCCGAAACAATCACCTGTGGGTAAACAATCTCCAACCACATTCCAAAGCAGCAAAACACAGGAGAAGCAAATGAGATAATATTGTTTTCCTTTTTCTCTGAGGCTTCTCAGCTTCCAAGGAGAGAATTCCTGGGCAAAGGGATTTTTCCAGAAAATATGACTGCCACAGCCATCTGCACAGGACACACCCCTGTCCCTCAGCCAGCCCCCCACCTGAGGGGTGATCACAGCAGGCACCAGCATTATCCCATCCTTAGGGTTCCCAGGGACAGCCAGCTTTCCCAAAGCCTGCAGGGCACAGTGACATGGGGACGTGGCCAGTGGCACAGCAGATGTGATGGTTGGTGGCCCTGTGCTGTCCCCCCTGCAGGTGTGGTTCCAGAACCGGAGAGCCAAGTTCCGCCGGAACGAGCGGGCCATGCTGGCCAGCAAGAACGCCTCTCTGCTCAAATCCTACTCAGGGGACGTGACGGCCGTGGAGCAGCCCATCGTACCTCGCCCTGCCCCCAGGCCCACCGACTATCTCTCCTGGGGGACTGCCTCGCCCTACAGGTGAGTGAGTGAGTGAGTGAGTGAGTGAGTGAGTGAGTGAGTGAGTGATGACCCCGCTGCACCACCCCAAAAGCAGCCCTCAGACAGCTGGGATGTGCCCACAGCTGGAGGATGCAGCAGTCTGACCATCCCACTGGTTCTCACCTCTGCCCACCCCCCATCTCATTGTAAGTGTTGCAGTGTGGTCCCAGCTCAGCATCGTTGTATCTTTCTTTTCTGGGGGTCTCTCTCTGCAATGCATGGAATTTTGAGAGAGGCTCAGGTAGAAATACATGGAAACAGAAGGTTTTCCCCAATGCGTCTGGTTTATAGCAAGAAGGAAACCTTTCCATGGGACACAGATCCAGGGGAAGGGGGTCAGAGCACTTGGGGAGGCTCAGCCACCACACAGTGGCCAGAAGAGGGAGTTCTGTGGCTGTCCCACTGCTTGGGATGCCAGCAGGGCTGGGAGCTCCCTCCATCCCTGTGGAGCAGTGCTCTCAGCACCGGGCTGTCAGCAGTTTCTTTCCATTGCCTGAGCACACGTGTGTGTGTGAGCATTGTGCTGTGCTCTGCCTGCATGAAGGGCCAGGTGACAGACTGGTCCTCACTGTCCACCTCCTGTGGTCAGTGCTGCTTAAGGGATGGCAACAAAGGAGCATGGATGTGGCAAGCCCAGTCTCAGAGGATCTGGGATGTCCGTGCACATCACAGTGCTCCCTGTCCTCTCTGTGCCACTCCTGGCTCTGCAGGAGCTGGGTGTGGACACAAGCTCCACAGGATGTGTTGGTTTGTGGGGAGCCAGCTGGCTCACAGGCAGTTAAAAATTAGGTTGGAGGGTGTTTTTTAGCACAGTGGCTTCATTGTTGGTCAGGACCATGAAGCCTTTGGCTGGATTTCTTCCTGTTCATCTGGCCTGGTCACTGCTAGCTTCCCAGTGCCTTCCAGGAGCCCACACCGTGCACAGGACCTCTCTTGCTGGGTCACCTTCACCCTCTTTTTGCTCCACGAATTGTTGGCACAGCAAGAGCTGCAAGCACATGGTCTGGTCTTCCTGCTTGTTGCTTCAGTTCTGTGGGGTCCTCCTCATCCCCCCTGTATGTCCAGAAGAACAAGTCATAGACCCATCCACTGCAGATGTGGAAAAGGATGCTTTTGGTGGCCACCAGCTTCATCTTAGAAATGGCCATTATCCTTTGGATTTCTCCTGAGGACTGCTGTCTGTGAAAATCCCTCTTTTATGGATTAAGGCTTTCTCCCTGTGCAGTGCTCCTTGCTGTAGCATTCTGGGGAGGTGAGATCAGGGAAGGGAACTGAGTTCCTGCCCCACCACAGGGGGACTGCAGTACCAGATCCCTACTCAATGCTCATGGCTTATTTCCACCTCTGACACTTCTAAAAAGAGATCCTTCCTCCTTGAGATGATGTTTACACAGGGAGCTTCCTAATCACTGCTAGGAGAAGACCCTGCAGGTAACTCCCAAGGTGCCCTGGGAAGGGCTGTCTGAGGGCACCTGCAGCACCTGGGATGTGCTGATGAGAACAGGGGAGGAGGGACAGCCTTAGGGATGGTTTCCAGCCTTGGGGATGGTTTTCCAGCCCCTCAGCTCCAGGCTGTGCCCATCCACGATGCAGAGACACTCCTTCCCCTTGTCTTGTCTGCAGCCACGATGTTTCAGCAAAGGCATTTGCAGCTTGCACACCAAAGCAGGCTGGAGTACCACCTTCCCACTGCCCTGCACTGGCAGAGGAGCAGAGCAGCTGCTTTCCACACTGTGGGGTGCACAGGACCCTCAGACACTCCATGCTCCCCAGGCTTTCTGATGCTCCTGATCATCTCTTGGCAATCACATTCATCTGAAAGTGTTGCAGCCTCACTAAAGCTTTGCAGTAAGGTCATTCACATATTCAAATAGTGAAAGCCTGCAGCCATGTGGAGTGTTTGCATGGCCCCCTGCCCCCTCCCCATCTTCCCAGCAGTGCTGTAGCAGCCCCTGATTAACAGCCACTCCTGGGGAGGGCCTGGAGCAGCGTGGCCAGGGCTGGTTTTACTCTCAGATCTGGGAAAAGTTTTCAATGCATGTGTTTATTCTCCAAATACACTCAGCCACAGGTCAACCAGAGCTATTTGCAGATCTCTGTCACACAGACAGCCAAGTAGATACTATTCTTTTTTTTTTTTTTGAAGTTGAAAAATGTTTTACTTAGGCATTTTTTAGCCTAGGTTCCTAAGAAAACAAGACTGGCAGCCCACACTTCCCATTTCCAGCAACCTTTGGCTCCACGGGCCACTGAAAACCTTATTTGAAAGAAGGATTTTAGGCCTCAGAAACATGATGCTCCTCTGCGTTTCGTGAAAGCAGAGCTCAGTGGAGGAAGGAGATTTTTCTCTGCCTGAATGGGGTGGAGGGAGGAGGCAGCAGGGTGACTTCAACCCTTATTAGACCCTGGAGAGTCTCTGGAGCAACCCTCAAGCTATACTGGTGTTTGGACACAGCCTTCTTGTGCACTGCTCCTGCTGGAATAACTTGATGAAAGGAAGCACTTCTGGAGATTTTTGGTTTAGCAGGGATTTCACTTGGCATCAGTAAGTGAAACCATCTTCCCCACACCTCTGGGGAGTTGGGAGGCAGAGGCTCCCAGGAGTTTCAGCCCAGACTTGGCCAGGAACCTGGTTTTGAATGGGGACAGTTTACAGCCCTGACTGAAAACTCCTACTTTATCTAGTTTGGAGTACCCTTGAAGGTCTCCAGATTGCTTCCAGCTCAAAAACATGGGAGAGATGCACCCTGTGGAAGCAGATGGGCGTGGGGGCTTAAGTAGCCACCACCTTTAGACCTTGTGGAGCTTTGTACCCTCCTACAGGCAGCACTTGGGGTGAGGAGAGCAACCAGCCCAGCCATGGAGAGGGAATGAGGGGGTGCAGCTGGTGGAGAAGAGCTCCAGAAACAGCACATCCACGTGTTCTGGATGCTGGTGAAATGCAGATATTCCCTGCTCTGCATCTCCTGCAGACTGAGGATTCACACAGCACTGGCTGGCAGATAAACTCCTGGGAGGTCAGAAATGCCAGCAGCACCTCGGGCTGAGCAGGCACAGCTCCAGCCTGGGTCTGTGCAGCAGGTGCCCCTGTCCCTGCAGGGAGATTTTTTTTTTTTTTTTTTTTTTTTTATGACAGAAAAAAGAAAAGACAAAAAGGCAAAACATCCCAACCCGTCTTGGTGTTTGGGTGTGTGGATGGAGCAGAGCATTTCCCAGAGCCTCAGCTGTGAGCCACCCTGGCAGGCAGATGGGAAAGGGCAGCACCAGAGCTGAGCTGGCCTCCAGCAGAGCATTTGGGGTTTCCTCCAGTGTTAAACTCTGTGTTAAATGGGCACCTCTGCTTCGTGTGGTGCTCCTCAACTGGTTTTGATCTGTGGACCCACGCAAAGGAAATGCAGCAGGTCAAGTACTTCGCTGGGTTTTGGGGAGTTGGCAGGGGGAGCTGCTTTTCACAGAAACCCATGGGACACATGGATTAAACAAGTTTTCTAGTGGTCTGGAAAGCAGCTTTGCAGATTTTTTGGTAGGATAAGAAAGGAGCTGGAGATCTTTGTTCAGCCTCTGCTGCCAGGAGTGATGTTTTTCATGAATAAAGTCGCAGTTTGAAGGGAGAAAAAGTGGTTTATGTTTTGGGTTTTTTCCTTCAGCCTTTAGGACATGCTCTTTATAATCAGCTGAAGTTTTGAGGAGGGGAAGAAAGTGTGGAAATTTTCATTCCAAAAGGCTGAAACGAGAAAACATCACAATTGTTGAAACGGGTTTTTCCCAGTGTGTTTCTTTAATGTAACATGTGTCTCAGAAGTGACGTGATTTCACAGGCTATAAAACCAGCAATTGGTCTCATCAAAAAGACATTGCTTCCAGTGGGAATACTTTTAAGGACAATGGTCTAACTGGCAGGCTGACCTCACTGCAAACCTTTTTTGGGTTAGAAAATAGGAAGTGGAAATTTTTCCCGTTGACTGCAACCAGCTTTGGTGCTGGGTAAGTGAACAGCAGCGGAAAGATTTACTGGGGTGTTAAATAAAGGGGAGTGGTAATTCCCTGCTGACACCACACCAGGGTTACATCCCACAGGTATGGAAAAAAACAGGGTTTAGGCTCTGCTGTGGTTTGGAGGCCACGTCTGACGTGATGTTTCTCTTTCCATCCCTCAGTGCCATGGCCACCTACTCTGCCACGTGTACCAATGCCAGCCCGGCGCAGGGCATGAACATGGCCAACAGTATTGCCAACCTGAGACTGAAGGCAAAGGAATATAGTTTACAGAGGAATCAGGTGCCCACAGTCAATTAACAACTGGGGGCAGCTGCCTTGCAGAAGGAGAAAACACAACAGCACCCGTCCTGCTTCGCAACTTGTCTGTGCTGAAAGAAAAAAAAATGAAAAAGAGAATAACAACAACAACAAAAAAACCACAATAAAGATAAAATAGAAAAAAAAAAAAAAAAGAAAAAAAAAAGAAGAAAAAAATGCCAACCCTCACCCAGAACTGAACACGGGGAGCAAACAGAACCTGTGAGTGATAAGGTTCCTCCTTCCTTTTGGGATAATGCCACCATTGTTTATTTTCTTGTTATCGTCGGGTTTATTGCTTCTGCTCAATATACTGCGAGCTTCTTCAGTAAAGGACAGTCTCACCCTTGCTGGTTTCCATTTTTGTACGGGACTGCAAAAAGAAACCTCTGCCAATCTCAGCCCGCGGATGAGTGCCACCACCAGCACGCTGAGATACAAAGCTTGCTCATCTCCCCGCTGCCCCTGCTCACCCTAGAAGAAGAATTTGTTTGGTCACCAGTTTCCATTATATCCACCCGACCCTCATCCCTCCAGTCCCTTGTGCCACAGAGGCAGCACATTCCTATCAGTCTGCCAGAGCCCATTTAATGCAGCAAGATGGATTCCTGCTGTCTGAGCTGCCTGGAAAACCTCCTTGGGCTCTGCAGAGCTCCATTGTTTGGTTGAGTATTCCTGGCACTGCTGCCTCAAAAAGCCAAAGAAGACAGCAAAGCCAACGTGGGTGTGTGAGCAGGGGGATCTCTCTGTAGTGCCAAGAACAGGACTGTCAGGACACTCCTTTCTATGCCTTACACTTTGTGCCACAGGGAAAGGCGTTGTCCAGATGCATTTGTTTTATATATACTGTATATATTTATATATATAAGATAATACATGCAAGCTTGGTTGGTGTTTTTTATTAAACAAAATAAAACCCATTGAAAACGTTCGGGATGTTTGTGCTACATGCAGGTGGAGCTGTGCATTGAAATTCCAGCCACAGCCTCTCTCAGCCTTGGCAGAGCTCTTCCCTGCAGCCTTGGAGCTCTCATGTCCTCCCGTGAGAAACCCCAGAGAAGTGGTGCTGGAGGGAGCCACACTCCTTTTTGCAGGTTTTCCCCATGGGCAGCAGCACAGAGCACAGCACAGGTCTCCTCTGCAGCCACGCTGCTTCATGTGGCTTTTGGGATATCCCCAGGGAAAGTCTCTCCAGGCACAAGTGATGTCTCAGCAGGGATCATCCCACCAAAGATCCCTTAACACTGCTCAGTAAGTAAGTTGTCCCATAACCTTAACCATTTCCCCTACCTGCTGTCCTCCCTCTGGGCTTTGGAGACTAATTAGCACCTAATTGATTTATCTCCCTGAAGAGCAGAGGAGATGCAGCCCAAAAGGCATTTCTTCCACACAAACATCCTGAGGAAATCAGCATCTTTCTCATTGCTGATGATGCCTGTCTCTCCCGTTTGGGGGAGGAGGGGGATGATTTATGACAAATAGCACTTGTGTCCAAACTGAGGTGGACAATGCCATGGAACAGCGTCACTGAAGGCAGCAGAGCTACTCCATGGTCCAGGCTGGACCATCAGGGAAGGAGAATGGAGCTCAGCCATGAGAAATTCTGGTAGAGTGGCTTAGATCTTCAGCCTGGTGTTTGCTGCAGACACACTGGGCATATGTAGATGTCTGACAGTGGGCTTTGATAGTCTAAACCAGCATGTTGCAGGAAATGAGGAATAAATCTCTTTAAAGTGTAGGTGAAAATTAAACTGGCAAAGGATGAATGGAAATCCATCCAAAATATTTGAGCTAGCACAAGGAAAAAAGCCCCAAATCCAAACTGGAGTAAGCTTTGCCTGTGATTGTGTGCATTGCTGCTGGATTTTTTTTTTTTTCCCCCTCCCTGTGTGGATATTTTTGCAGAAAAAAACCTAATTGTGATCAGGACAAAAAGCTGAAAGTCACAGGCAGAACACCAGGGAAAGGGAGGCAGGGCGAATACTGTGCTTTAAAAATCCATCATGTTCTGTATGATCTCTTTTCTTGACCACCTGCAGTCTGGAGAACCTCACCTGTGTAAACCAAAATATTTCTGTCGTGCACAGTGCAGGTGCAGCTCCTAGAGCCTGCACTTAGAAACTCACTGCTGCGTTTGTGCCTACACAAACACACAGAAGAATTGATCAGAAAGGAGCCAGTGCCTTTGTGTGTCATCACTCACAGGCTGAGCTGGTTGTTGAGCACCTGGAGCTGGTTGTTGAGCACCTGGAGCTGGTGCTCTCACTCCTCTTGCCTTGCTGCCCTCCTCCAGAGCCCAGCACCTCCCAGCAGCGCCAGCAGCCTGCGTGAATTCCCCTGAGCGCTCACCCTGGAGTTTCAGCTCTTTCCCTCAGCATCCCTCTGGCCTGTGGCTTTCCCCCAGTCTTTGCTCAGCTTTTCAGCAGTAGAAAAACCACCCTGAGCAGCTTTTGTTGTTGTCTGTGTAGGGACACCACTTTCTAAGGTTATAAAGGGAGCGTGAAGCTCCTGGGGCTCCATGACCCAGCCGTGGATTGAGTTCTCCATCCCCACACTGTGATGTTCACATCAAGGGGCTCACAAATGCCTGTGCAAGCCCTTGCTCAGCCTCTTCATTTTATCTGAATGGTCTGGCACGGGGCTGCTCCTGCAGGGAGACTGGGGGCTTCTGCACCTCCAGTCTGAGCTGGGTCTTGCCTTGGGTCAAGCTGCTTGGTCAGGGGTGCCACCACAGCTGAGTGGGCTGTTTTCAGTTCAGATAAGACCTTTACATGCCCTTCGGTGGCCCAAAATTGCTTTGTTTGCATGGATTTACTAGCCAGAGTCCAGCTGGATGAACAGAGAGCTTCTGGTGTTTATTTGTTAATTGCTGATGACCTCAGCCAAAAGACAGTGACTCGTCATCAATCAAGCCAAAGTGAAATTTTAGAATTGTGTTTAATCTGTATTTTATTAAACCATGTAAATATATGTGCAAATTAAGGGCCTTATCCTCAAAGAGTGAATTTCTCCAGGGTTTCAGTAGATTTCCAGTTGTAGCTCTGGGAAGTTGCCATGGTTACCACGGTTATCATTAAGTTTTGGTACCATTCAGGAGAGAAAATGTGTCTTAAGGCATTTTCCTCTTGCCTACTCTGTTTGAGCACCGTTTTCTCAGGCTCCCCCTCTCTCAGCAGAGAAATAGATGACTGGTTCCCTCAAAGTGGGAATTTCCTGCGTGGCAGGGATGGATGATTGACGAGGCTGCCGTGAAGCCACGGGATTTCCAGATGGAAGCAGCGTGTCCTGTAAATTATCTCTTGCTTTGTGATGTAAAATGTACAGTGTTTGCACTAGAATAGAAGTGATCATTTTCAATAAAAGGGGGAAGAGACTCCTCAGTCCTTTCTATGAGCTGCCACATCTGTGTGACGTGTTGCTGCCCTGGGCCGTCCCACAGCGTTGTCTGGGAACTCTCTGGAGCCTTGTGGGGGAGAACAGGAGCCCTTGGAGCTGGGCTTGGGGTCAGGCAGCTGCGAGTTCAGCAGCAGTGCAAGGCAGGAAACATCCACAAAGCCTTCTCCTAGAAGAGCTGGAGTTCGGGAGGAGTGGAGGCACACCCGTGGCTTTGTCCCAGCCCCAGCAGGCTGGTGAGACACCAGGTGGGGCTGAATGTGGGGCAGAAGGGGAGCAGGGAAGGGAGGTGAGGGAGGGATGGACATCCCCTGTGGGTGCTGGGGATGGGTGACCAGCAGGGAGGGAGGGAGAGCAACAAATGAAGAGGAAAAAAAGTGTTGAATCCCATCCCTGTGCAGGAGTGCACAGAGCTGGGCTGAGCAGGGAGATCCCTCCCTGCACAGCAAGGCAGGTGGGCAGAAGGAGCTCAGAGGGTCATCAGGGCTAATTAGTGAAGGCTGTTAAAGCAGGGGTGGGAGTGCTGCTGTGGGGCTGGTTTTGTCTCCTGAAGATGTGGAGCTGGGCTGGGGTTAGAGCTGTGCTCCAGTGCTGGGGTCTCTGTTGGGAGCTGCAGTTGGCTGGGGGGAGATGCTGGGGGGCTTCTGCAGCTTCCCTTCTTGGTCACTAAATGATGAATTCAGATTTGAGCCAACTGTTAGGAAGCTGTGTCTGGCTTGGCATCCTATTTGCCTGCTGATCTGGCTTCTGAGCCTCCCTGGGCAGTTAAATTTCAGCAGGGCAGTCCCCAGAGAGAGCCCATTAAGGGGAGATAGGCATCTCTGCAAGGCCCTCAGCACTCAGCCAAGCTTGCATTCCTTGGAGAGCTGATTATTGCCTCCTCTGAAGCTGAAATAATAATAATATCACCCTCCTGCTTATTATTTATTTTTGCCAAAAGAAGTAGGCTTGTAAATAGCATTGCTTCCAAGTTGATTTAGAGGCTGGAGTGGTTTGGAGCGAGTTGAAAGAAGGCTGGATGTCCATCCAGACCTGCAGCCAGCTCCTCTCAGCTACATCTGGGCAGGTGTCCATCTCCTGGCCTGGCACTGCTGTGCTGTGGCTCCTCACCTGGTGGCTCCAGTTCTCAGTTTGGTTTGGATTTCCAGCAGCATCCCCAAGAGCTGTGGCCAGGCAGGGTGTGGCTGCCTCCCCTCAGCCTGCAGGTGTCTCCTGGGCATGCACTGCACACCTCTGGTGCTCCCACCATGGACTTGGGTCCTGCTTCAGAGGAAAGCCACATCTCCTTCTCACCCCTCAGTGACAGGAAAGTGTCTTCATGACTGAGGGTTTGCCCACAGGGGCTTTGCTGTTCACCCTTCCCCTTCCTGCCCCTCCAGTGAGATCCCAGGTGAGCAGGGGCAATGCAAACAGCAGCTTGTTTGGGTCTCTGCAGCCTGGATTTGGGGCTTAGAACTGCTTCTGGGCTCACCTTCTTGTCTTTCCCAGCTTTCCAACCAGTTGTTTTTGTGTCCCTCAGCTGCTTGAAACACCTCTGACTTTGTCCTCTTCTCATCTTGACAATTCAGCCAGCTGTGGCACAAGCGGGTTATCCTGTGTCTCTCCCTGTCCAACAGATGTGATGAAATCATGTGAAGCAGCAAAGTTCAGGAGGACAGAAGGAGTCTGGAAAGCCCAGGTCCTTTCACAAGCCAGGAGGAC